TGATTCAAACTAACCAACCACAATCTCTCACAGCAACCAGGGGTCACCTCATCCTCTTAATACTACAAAGACTGCCTCCCACAGCCTCCCTGTGTTCACTCTGCAAGGGCAACCCCCGGGTAATCCTGCAGGGCACGAGGTCTTCCTCTTCTGTCCACGGTGGAGGGCAGTGTGTTCAGCCACCTCCATATCCCCAGGTTGGGAAACCCTCCCTCATGACAGAGTGAGTAGCCAGCAAATAAAACACTGGGCTTTGAGGGCATTTACAAACCTACAGCCCTTCAACAAAAAAAATTTTTTTTTTTTTTTTGAGAGGGAGTTTCACTCTTGTTACCCAGGCTGGAGTGCAATGGCTCGATCTCGGCTCACCGCAACCTCCGCCTCCTGGGTTCAGGCAATTCTCCTACCTCAGCCTCCCGAGTAGCTGGGATTACAGGCACGCGCCACCATGCCCAGCTAATTTTTTTGTATTTTTAGTAGAGACAGGGTTTCACCATGTTGACCAGGATGTTCTCAATCTGTTGACCTCGTGATCCACCAGCCTCGGCCTCCCAAAGTGCTGGGATTACAGGCTTGAGCCACCGTGCCCGGCCAACCAAATTTTTATCTTCAAAGTTTGGAGACTTATTTACATGTAATATAAACACAGGCCTCAACTTCAGATAAGCATAAGCAAAGTTTATACCTTCACCTGGGGAAATAGTTTTTTCTTCCATTTTTCTTCTTTACTCAGACTCAAAGATAAGATAAACATAAACTCCATCATCTCTCTATGGAGTGTTTTCCCTCTCTACTACCGAGGGTGGGTGTAGCCCTATAGCACTTCCACCCTTTATATGACTGTCTCTGATTTGACTGTTACCCCATCAGCACCATATTTCCTATCCCCTACACAGGACTTATTAAACCCACTCAAGGCATCCCCCAGGTAAAATGCTAATTCCTGCGCTTACTTGCCCCATAATTTCTGCTTTTCTTGCCCTTTTAAACCTCTAAGGAATTCTCTTTCCATGTCAGAAACTCCATCATGCATTACAAATATTTCTGTTTGTGTATTTTACACAGCTGCCTTTTTTTTCTATACCAGGAGGAGTTTTCTAGGCATTTCTCTTTATCTCCCCCTCTTTCACATATACAAAACCAGAATACAAAACTGTACTTGAACGTTTCTGCATGTGATTAAATGTTCTTCAAACATCTGATTATTATTGGTGTCACAGCATTTAATTACAGACCTTTAATCACAGAAATGCAACAATTCTATTTTCAGACATTATTTCAAAATTATAATATCTTTACAATTATAAACAGTGCTACAACTGCAAGAAGATGTACAAAAATCTTTGTGCCACTGATTATTTCCTTAGAATAGATTCTTGGATGTGTTATTATCCTGACAAAGGGTATGAACTCTTTTGAGCTCTTGATATATTTTGCCAAATTGCTTTCTAGAAAGGTTGTAGCAATTTACAATTCACTGCAGTGTGTTAGGTGAAAAGTGATGTATCATAGATGATTTAACTTGCATTTCCTGATTACTCATGAGGCTGAACATTAACTGAGTGTGTTTTATGTTTAACCAATTCCCTTGTAAGTATATCAGGTGATTTTAATCATCCAATTTGGAGCTTTGTTCATTTCTTCACTCAAAATATTTGTGAATCTTACTCTAAGCATAGCACTGTGTTAAACCGAAGGATTAGCTCACCAGCTTGGCGTACTTCAATATGTATGGAATAACTGGCATACAAAGCAACAATTATGTACTGATGCAGAGAAATGTAGCGGCAAATGAAGGCTTCTGCTCAGCAAACACACTGCTGTACCAAAGAAGAGATCCTTATTTCACCGTCTGGAGTAATCAGAATGAGCCTTAATGTAATTTCATGCTTTCTCTTGGAAAGGAAAATACCATATTGAAATTTAACTTTAAATGATTTTTAATTTGGCTATGTTACAATTAATATTGTTCTTCCACCACAGGGCTGTTTGGAACCATTCAGCACTTACTATGTGCCGTGCCTGCATCATGCTCAACACCAGTCTTGTTTCCATTGCTGTTGGGAGAAGATCCACTAATTGTCACCTAAAGGAATGCTGAGATATTATTTAATGAACTGTTACAACTTAATACAACTGATAAGAATCATCAGTTTTTCTCTTAGTTCCATTTATGTTTTATTTATAACATTCATATGATGCATTCTTAAAAAATTCTTTCCTTATGATGCCTCCCTTGAAACAGCCATTTATTTGTCTTTCTGTTACACTGTTGTAACTATTCATAAGAATTTATTATCCTAGCAAAGGCCGCTCATGAGAAAATGTGGCCATCTCTATGAAATTGGGTGATACCTCCACCAGGATGGTCCTTCAAACCCCAGATAAACAGCTTTGTTCCTCTTCATTCCCTTTATTTCCACAGAGGGCCTGTGTGCAGGCAAGGATAAAAACATATGCACACATCTCATTTGTCTTAGTAACCAGTATCAGAGGACTGATAGGAAAAAAATCTATATATTTATGTTATATAATATTTATTTATATTTTAATATTATGTAGTGTATATAAATGTAGAGATGTATTCAGTAAGTGCAGTTTTTGACATTAAAAGTAATGGGCAAAGTGCCAGGTGTGGTGGCCCTGTAATCCCAGCACTTTGGAAGGCAGAGGTGGGCAGATCACCTGAGGCCAGGAGTTCATGATCAGCCCGGCCAACATGGTGAAACCCCATCTCTACTACAAATAGAAACATCAGCCAAGCGTGGCGGTGTGTGCCTGTAATACCAGCTACTCGGGAGGCTGAAGCAGGAAAATAACTTGAACCCAGGAGGCAGAGGTTGCAGTGTGTTGAGATCGTGCCACTGCACTCCAGCCTGGGTGACAGAGCGAGACTTCATCTCAAAAAAAAAAAGTAATGGCAGAAACTGCAATCACATTTGTGCCAACATAATAATAAATATACATTTACATTGCGTATGATTTTATGTATAATGTAAACATATAAAAATATATGTTTATATAATATAGAAATACAAAATATGAAAATATAAGTGTATATCATATAATGTAAAATATAAGTATATAATATATCAAAATATAAGTGTACATATACATCTATAATATTTACTATATATTATATAAAATATATATTTTATGTATGAACATTATGTATGTACTATACATGTACATATAATATACAATATAAAATTTGGGGGTGTTGTGAGGGGGTGTGTATACACACATACACACATACATTTCCATTTAAAAAATAGAAGCAGGTGAGATTTAATACAGAAGAAAGTAGACTATATATTAAGAAACAGTTTTATTTAGAGAATAATTTTGTTCTGTGGTGATAACTTTTGCACTGCTTTCCGAGTGCACTGGTTATATGAAAGCTCCATTTACTTTGTAGGTTGCCAGAGCTAAGTGTCTTTCCTAATCTCAATCACTACGGGCCTAATACGGTAGATGTGATGGTTGCTCAGAGTACCCTACACCACTAAATCTTAGATTTGCTGAAAGAGAGAGAGGAAAAAGAAAGCCAAAAAGAATGAAGGGAAGGAAGGAGGGAAGAAGGGTGAGAAAGGGGGAAGGTGAATGGTCTGCAGGACGGCAGCCCTTCTGGTCCCAGCTGGGGTTGCTTGTGCATCCATAGGCAACTTTGTGAACTTGGCTGGTTTCTTTCATTATGCTAGTATATGCTTGCTCTTAGAGTGGTGGCAGAGCTCAAAAAAATAGAATAGTTAGTTTATGTAGCTTAGTTTTAAGCCTAGAACTGGTATTTAACACAGCCTGTGTTCTTACACTTACTGTGTAGAAATAGAAATAAACTCTTGAGTTCTAGGCTTAAAACTGGCATGGTTTCCATCATTTTCTATTGTCAAAAGCAAATTCCAATATGAATCTTGACTTAAGTAATAGCAGAATGGATTCTGCCTCTTGCTAGAAGAAACTGCAAAGTCGTATTGCAAGGAACATAAATTTTAAAAAGGTGAAGAATTGGAGCTATTTTTGAAATCTATCTACCTAACACAATTATTTAAAATAAAGTTGTGTACATTATACTCCCTAATCTTTCTTAAGTTTATTCATATTTATACATCTAACTTTTATAAAAACAAATCCTGTTATAGATATTTACCTCCAGGTTTGTTACATAAATAATTTGATGTGATCAGTATGTATCTAGTCAGTACTTACAGCTGGATTATTCTTTTTGATGGCTGCATAGGATTTAATAAATCATTACACCATAATTTGTTGAACCATTTACCTATGGATGAAAATACAGTTGAGTTTTTTTTCCCCATGGCAAGTATATCATTACAAACCCATGTTTGAATACTCATAATTTTAATTGTAAAGCTTTGTTTCCTAGAAGGGTAATTTCTAGTTGGAAGGGTGTGTACATATTTCATTCTAATGGATGATATTTACTTCATAGAAAGGAGCTAGTATTGGTGATATATTTGTCATAGTAATTAATGTGATTTGCTGGAAAAGATAACCCTAAAACACAGTGTCTTAACACAAAGTCGTATATAAATCAGGCTATCTTGGATAGCTCTACTCCATGTGGTGACTCAGGAACCCCAGCTTCTTCTGTGCTGTGCCTCTGCCACCTCAGAGAATGGGCTCAGAGTGTCTTCACTAGATCCTCTGATTCAATAAGCTGTCAAGAAGGGAGGGAGACAACCTAAGGAAGATAATAAGAGGTGTTTTGTTAAGGCCAAGACTTGAAGTGGCTTATTTTCTTCCACCTATATTTCTTTGATCAAAATTCAGTCAAATCATCCAATCTAACTAACTACAAGGCTGGAAAATGTAACTTTCTTGTTTGCCCAAGCGTAGGAGCAGTATTGGCTAGCATCCGGGCAGTGTGTGCCTCTAATGATGATATGTTTTCTGTAGGTGATATTTCTATTATCTTTAATATTATTTGAAAATCCTGAAAAACTGAAAAAGGAATAAAGAACAAATAACAATTCCAGAACAGCCTCTTGGTATTTAACACAGCTGTGTTCTTACACTGACTGTGTAGAAAGAGAAAGGAATAAACCTACCCACCCCCGCCCCCAGGCATTTCAACCAGGCCCCATGCTTCGTCTGGATTGTGAATAGGGAAACATGGAAGACCATCATTCCAGACCTCTTAAAATTGGAAAAGGAATAAAATATTCTCTATCCATTCCATCCCAACCCTAGAGATAAACATTGTTAATGATTTGGGGTTTATCCTACTTGGTCTGTTTCTGTAACCTACTGTGCATACCCGTATATGTTATGAGCTGAATTGTCTTCCCAAACTTTGTATGTTGAAGTTCTAATCCTCACTGTCTCAGAAAATAACTGTATCTGGTGACAGGGACTTTAAAGGGATACAGAAATTAAAATGAGTTTATTGGGGTGGACCCTAATCCAATATAACTGGTGTCTTTCTAAAAACAGGTTAGGACCCAGGCATAGAGGGAAGACAGTGTGAAGACACAGAGAAAGGAAAGCTATCACCAGGTGCTGTGGCTCACGCCTATAATCCCAGCACTTTGGGAGGCCAAGGTGGGTGGATGCCGAGGTGGGTGGATCACAAGGTCAAGAGATCAACACCATCCTGGTCAACAGATCGACACCATCCTGGTCAACATGGTGAAACCCTGTCTCTACTAAAAATACAAAAATTAGCTGGGCATGGTGGTGCGCGCCTGTAGTCCCAGCTACTCAGGAGGCTGAGACAGAGGAATTGCTTGAACCCAAGAGGTGGAGGCAGAGGTTGCGGTGAGCCAAGATCCTGCCATTGCACTCCAGCCTGGGTAACAAGAGTGAAACTCCGTCTCAAAAAAAAAAAAAGAAAGAAAGAAAGTCATCTACCAGCCAAGGAGAGAGGCCTCAGAGGAAACCAGCCCTGCAGACACCTTGATATCAGACTTTCAGTCTCCAGAGCTGTGAGGAAATCCATTCTGTTGTTAAAGGCACTGAGTAAATGGTACATTGGTATGGCATCCGTAGCAGACAAACACACCACACATAATTACACATAAAGTATGTGATTTCAAACTCTTTCATAACTACCCATCTACATAAATGCTTCTCCTCCCTCCTTCTTTCCTTCCTTCCTTCCTTTCCTTCTTTCTTTCTTTCTTACTAGAAGTAAATATTTTTTAAGTTTTCGGCTATATGTTTAAAATATTGAGGGGGCAGTGATTTCACTTACACTTTCTCAATTTCTGGTGAGTATTAGAATTTTTCCACATTACTGACCATTTATTTGCATTTCACCTTTGGTAAAAGTAACTGTCATTTATCCATTTTTAACTAATATTTTTAATTTAAAGAAATTATTTGTATATTACAAATCACAATTCACTGTTATATATGTTGCAAAAGTTTTCTCCCAGTCTGTCATTTGTATTTGACTTGGTCTATGGAATGGTTTGATTTATAGATGTTTCATATTTTTCTATTTCATAATGCACTTCTACTTATCAGATGCTGTGCTGTATGCCACAGGTCATACCATGATCCAAAACTCAAAATACTTGTTCTCTAAGGCCAGAGATGGTGGCTCATGCCTGTAGGAGGCCGAAGCAGGAGGATCCTCGAGCCTAGAAGTTCGAGACCAGCTTGGGCAACATAGTGAGACCCCCATCTCTATAAAATATAAAAAACATTAGCCAGGCGGGGTAGTGCACATCTGTAGTTCCAGTTACGTGGATGGTTTAGGTGAGAAGATCACTTAAGCTCAGGAGTTCAAGGCTGTAGTGAGCTACGATTGAGGCAAGGCACTGCACATTCTGAGTGACAGAGTGAGACCCTGTTTCAAAATAAAGAAAAATAAAAGAATCCCTGTTCTCAAGAAGATTATACACTCTTGGTTGGTTGAGAAAGATGCATATGGAAGACATCATAAAAGAACAAATACTACACCTGGAGCAAGGAGGTGAAGAAAGCCTTCACGTAAAAAAGGAGAAGTTATGGAGCATCTTGAAACATGGAGTGGGCCAAAAAAAGTCTAGTGTTGTAGATATGTTTATTAGGCTGCCCAGCCCACGGGATCTTAAACGGCAGCCTCAGAAGTATTCCTTTATTTATTTGATTGCTGACGTTTATGGATAGTATGGTGGGGGATGAGGTGCAAAAATATTAGGCAAAGAGGAAAGGGAAAGTTGATCTACTCTCAGGCTTTCAAGAAAATCTCAGAGCAGAGCAGCCTCAGCACAGTGGCAGGAGCCAACTCCGGCCTCTTGGTCGCAATTCCTCCCAAATGCAAACACCTTAACCCAGGACCTGCATAGGTAGGTGATGAACCTCGGCCCTCACCAATCCTGCTAGACTTCCCTGCCTTGTCACATTCCTCAAAAGTACTCAGAATACTACATGCACATGTGGCTGTGTGCTCTGAAGTCACCCAGAGTGAAAAAGCAGCCTAGTGGAGAAGCGGGCACCTGCAGAAGCAACCAGGGTTAGAATTACCGCCAGCACTTACCTGCTGTGGGACTGAACCACTTCTATGCCCCTGGTTCTCCAAGAAACTGGGATTAATAATAGAGTCCACCTCGTGGAGTAATGGGATAGTAAATTTATGGAGCTTAAGCCAGTGCCTACTATTAGTGCTCAATAAATATTAGAATTATTTGCCTTTGTGAGTCTTGCTATCAACTCTTAATAGCATCCATATCTTTTTTTTTTTAAGACAGGGTGCCACTGTGTTGCCCAAGCCAATCATAGCTCACTGCAACCTGGAACTCCTGGGCTCAAGTGATCCTCCTGTCTTGACCTCCTGAGTAGCTGGGATTACAAGCATGTGCCACCATGCCCAGCTAGTTTTATTTTTATTTTTTTGGTAGAGATAGGGTCTTGCTATGTTGTTGCGGCTAGTCTAGATTTCCTGGCCTCAAGTGATCTTTCTGCCTTGACCTCTCAAAGTGCTGAGATTACAGGCATGAGCCACCATGCCAACCTGCTATCCTTGTGTTATAATGAGGAAATTATGAATTAGCTAGATGAATTCACTCCCGAAAGCCTGGTCAGTAGCAAAACTAGTATTTAGACCCAGGTTGGATCTCAGAGCCTGACTCTTAATCCTACACTGTCCTCTCCCACCCCGAAAGCACACACACCAGCCAACAGTATATGCACGGTTTTTCTACTTCCCTGGCAGAAAGTGTTGGTTGCATTGACGTAATTTTAAGATAAGGAGAGCAAAGCTAGACAGAGTCATCTAAAAAAAGGGGAGAATTTTTTTCTGAATATATTCTTAAAAGTTTATTTAGTTATCCACATAAAAGAAATCTTAGACCTACCTTTATTGGCAAATACCCATAAATCAAAATAAGGGCAAACTATCTCACTGAAAGTCTGGTGAAATGGAGTCTGAGATCATTCTCTGCCTTGAACAGGAGGCCCACATTCTTCCAGCCAGCCAGGGAGTTAGTGCATGGGCCTGGGAGCACCCATGAAGCATCACAAAGCAGTGGTCAACCTGGTTGGTATTTTTCAATTTCTGTACAATTCTTTCTGTCTGATCACTTAGCAATGAGTATTATTGAATTTAATCTGCAGTCTCTAAATCTTGTCAGAACCTAAAACTCTCAAATATTTTAGAAAAGAAACTGTAGACTGGTTTTTAAAGTCAAAAATCTACGTAAGATATTCTTCACAGAGACATGTGGAGTCGGAAGGGAGTTCTTGATCAAGACGATGGTGAAGATCATCATGTTAACTGAAAACACCAAATGGTAAAAATGATAAACTCATCTGCACGTAAGGAAAAATCACATATCAGGAAAAGGTTGATCTTGCTATCAAAGGACATTGCAAAAGAGACTTTCTACTTTCTGTCCTCCAGAAAAAGCCCAGACACTACTTAAAAATAGAATCAAATATATCCCAAAATGCAAATGGAAAATTCCATGCCACCTCATTGGTTCACTCAGTTCTTTCTCATATTCTATAAATGAATAAACATAATGCTTCCAATTAGAACAAGTGCTTATTTTATGTGGGAACCAATGAAGTTAACATTAATTTCAGACTCCCTTACTGGATTTCAGGTCTCAACAATGAAGAATGTTTTGCTATGCCCTTACTGCCTCCTGCTTGTTGAAGCCCATAGGCCCAGAATAAAGATCTGATCTCCAAACCAAGCTTATTACAAATCCTACATCTTTAGCTCTTAATACAGTACACCCTTGCCACCTTTAAGCCACTTGTGGATCTTCCTATCATGAGGTATGCATTGCAGACATCTATAAGACAAAGAAGCTATAAGACTAGCATCCTGGTATTATAGATGAGGAAACTGAGGATCAGAAAGGCAGATTCACTCCCCAAAGCCTGACCAAAAGCACAACTTGTATTTACACCCAGGTTGGGTAGATTTCAGAGCTATTGTCTAGGTCTTCAAGTTGGGGACACACACTCTAACAGCAGATAGTAAGTTTACATCTACATGTTTATGCATTTGTACATGTACATCCTGAAAGAATTAAACTAGCAAATAGATGATAAGGTCATCATAAATTCACGAAAGGAATGCTCTTATATATATTCCTACTCCTTGAAACTAATGTCACAATAAAAACTTTTTTTTCTCACACACTGTCAGGGAGAAAATGTTAGGTCTCTTCAGGGCAATTTTTATGTTTCTGCAATTAGAGTAAAGTTCCATAGCTGGACCAACAAGTTTGCAATACATATTCTATCTGCTGCCAAGGCAACCAGTCCAGGAGTTTAAAGCATAGTAAACTGTCTGTATTCAAAACCTGGCTCTACTGCTTACTGTGATTGTGTATGTCCTTGTTACAATTATTTTGTTAACATGTTGTGAGGAGAAAGCTGTTTGAATTTATTTTAACTCAACTCAATTAAACAAATAATTATTGAGTACTCGTTATTTTCAAGTTGTTCTGGGCATTGTGGGGAGCTCAGAGATGAACTGGACATAGTAGTACTTCCCCTAAAACTTTTTGTCTAGCTGAAAAAGGAGGCTGGGTGCCGTGGCTCATGCCTGTAATTCCAGCACTTTGGGAGGTGAAGGTGGAATCCCTTGACCCTGGCAGTTCGAGACCAGCCTGGGCAACATATGGAGACACCCCCCCAACACATACCACCAATCTCTATAAAAATTTAAAAAAG